ATCAATAAGTGATTAACATAGGGGGGATCAAAATAAAATAAATAAATAAAATAAAAATCAAGCAGCCACCCTCCTCCCCTGACAAGTAAAGAACAGTCCCTTCATAAGTAAAGAACAGTCCCTAAAGTGCGGTGAGGTTTGTGGGCCGTTACCTGCCACAAAGACAGAAATGTGAACGGCTCGTTTCCCCTCTGACACATCACATACCTGTGTGCCGCCATGGCTCGGCTGTCCAGGTACGTTTGGGCAGTCATGACACCAAGAAGAGGACATTATTGGAGCCGGACCTCTCCGTCACCAGTAAGCCTAATCTTGCTCTGCGAAGCACTATGGCCGCCATATTTGACAGGAATACATTACTGTCTGTGTCTGTGACCCCCGTTCAACCCACAACCGGCGGGATTCGCCTTTCGTTTCTGCTGCTGGTTGAAATCTGTACTCACACAGCGTGCTGAATGATTTATTTTGCTCGCACAAAACTATATTTAGTCGCAAATGCAAGTGCGGTGACGGACTGAGTAAAATATCGCCACACTGCCGACATTTTACTCTGTCCGTCACCGCACGCTGTTTGATTACGTTATCAAAACACACCGCTATTATTCGGCCTTGCTTTTCACTTATTCCACCGAATACCGAATGTGTATTTTTTTGCAGTATTCGGCCGAATATATTCGTATAACGAATATTCGGTGCATCCCTAGTGCCATATACCAAACAACATACGGAGCCAAAGGTCAAACAATAGTAAATGCAAAGTTTTCAGCCAGTTACACTGCAAATAAATCAGTGTTTCTAGACCAGAGGAGCCTATTCACCATAGAAAATTTGATTTCTATCAAAACTACTGCACAACATTAGTAAAAAGTTTAACGTTTGACATTATAGTAGTTTGTTGGTGTGCCCACATGTTACAAAAACTGTATCTCTAGCTTCTTTCAAGGTCCGCCACCATGTTTACTGAAGTATATGTTTTAATGGACTAGTACTCAATCATTGTAGGTGAAGTAGTGATATCAAGTGTTCAAATTAAGAAGTGCAATGGTAGGGCTTGCAAGCAGTTGTTCAAGATGAGACAAGCACAAAAAGTAAAGAAAAGCTAACACATCCAGACAATAAAAAATTAGGTGCTGGACAAGAGATCATAGAAGAGACGAAAAAAATAGAGTCTGCACACTAGAATCTGCTCTCATAAGTATTATTTTAATTAAATTACCACTGAGATGAGAGTGACATTGTGTTTAAACTAGGCTTTGCCATCTAAAGCACTATATCGTAGGCAACTGGACTTGCTTGAGTTTCTTGAAGATCTTTCATCTTTCACCCAAGAGGCTTCCTTCGGTTTTAACGGACTGATGCAGAGTCGCAGGCTTTAAACTCTGTGGGGGTGTGAACCCTTACAGAGTCATTGAGGTCACATGTTTCAGAGTCGTTACAGTCACATGTGAGTCATTGACTCACCCAGCCATCATGTGTGACATTAGGGTTTGATGGGTCCAGGTGGGAATTGGTGTTACATTGTCTGGGGAGGGATCCTAAGACTGCATCATAGGTGGGTGATTAGTGGTGTCGTAGGCCAACTCCTCTGTTGATGACAATCGTTACCTCACCGACTCTGTAAGGGTTCACACCCACGCAAAGTTTAAAGCCTGCGACTCCGCACCAGTCTGTTAGAACTGTAGAGCCTCTAGGATGAGAGGTGAAACGTCTTCAAGAAGATTACCGTGACCTGGATGACTGAGAAACTTCATCAACCTAGGCTGTGTGATGAACATACAGTGCAATTATTAGAAATGTGCTCAAGCTTCAAGGCAGTGGGCTGCGTTGGCCCACAGGCCATAGTTTGGCCCCCCTGCCCTTAATGAACCTTGATGCACTGTGCTGCTAACTGATATAATTTTATGTCTGTATTTATATGTTTTTAGTTATTTTGTGTTAAAGGGTAATTATATATATACTTTTTTATCCTTTCTTGTTGCACTGTTGTGGGCTAGGAGAAACAGCATTATTTTTAAGTAACAACTACACAAGAAAGTGTCAAACTACCTCTTGAATTATAAATACTAGTCCATACCCATTGAGTGCACAGTTGCCCACGTACAGTTTCACATGGTGTGTGTTTGGGATACAGGTCATAGGAAATTACAGATTAAATAATCAACTGAACCCATTAAGAAGAGCAATGTATTCAGACAGAGGTCTGATAGTACGATTGCTTTATTGAGTAGTAGTACCATTCAGTAGTACCATTGCCAATCGTGGGATAGTTAGTGGGCTAAAACTATACATTAGTAGTTGAGGTAGCACGTTGAAAGGCAGATAGTTAAAGTGTTTTTATGTTGTATTGACTTAAAAGTGGGGCGCACTGGTAGAATGAGTGACAGAATGACACACTCACAGTTTCCGTAATTATGTACAGCACACCATACCATGACTTAGTCATACCAAAAATTTGAAGAAGAAAAAAACAACATTGGTCCACAGGGGGAGCCACAGCGATCAGTCACATTTTAGCCATTTTTAAGCATTTTTCTGTTGTTATAGCGCCACCCAGTTGCCAATTAGAGTTAAATTTCTCCAGTCACCTTGAGGCGTCCTGTTCTACATATCTACCAAGTTTAGTAAAAATCGATATGACGGTTAGGCCTGGATAAGAAATTAGCTCTCTAGCGCCCCCATTTTGTTTGATGGGGTCAATAATGGAGGGGTCCCCTCAGATTATGTGTGGTCATATGCCTACAAAGTTGCGTGGTGATCGGTGAAACCCTTGAGATGTTATACACCTTTATGTGATGAGCCACGCCCTCAGCAATATTCATTGCCTTATAGAAGCTCAGTTTTAGTAAGTTTTCCAACTTTTGCCAAGGGGGAACTTTAGATATTGGTCCCTAGATTATGTTCACCGAGTTTCATGCAGATCGGTCAAACTTCCTAGGAAGAGATTGATTTTAAGTGTTTTTCAAAAAATTCAAAATGTATAACTGGAAGTTATGGGTTCTAGAGGCAGATTTGTTCCTCATGAGTAACAAATCCTGAATCCTAATGAATACCTTTTTAAGATCTCCTCCTTTTGTCAACTGTTGACATTATTTTCTGAAGTAAACTGTAGCAAACATGTATGATGAGTCATATTCCATTTAACAGGACTATACAAACACTGAATGGCAGTGCAGGTTTTATAAGGTTTTATTCAGGTGGGAGAATAATGTCACCTGACAGAACAAACACAAAACAATCTGATCTGTTTGTGTAAAGTCACACAAGTTAATTCTGGATGAAACATTTTCAAACTAATGATTTGTCTTTGAGTTGTGACTTTTGAATCGCTGCAAGTTAAAGTGCTAATTAATAACTAAAGGGCTGGATTATGTTTTGGGGCTGCCAGCTGAATTGCCCCAATTTAAGCATTTTTCAAAAACGATGCTAAATGCAAATGTTTGTGACTTGATAACTGGAATCATTTATCAATTTAATAAGGCACAGCGATTCATCTCATGTTTACCGCAGGCTTTATCATCCTTCCAAGTTTGTGTACAACAAGTGAGAGGATTTGTGTTTGAGTATGGACTGTACAAGAGGTGTCTCCTGGTAATCAATCATCTCTCAACGCTGCTTCGAGGGACACGCTTCATCTAACAAAGATTATAATTAGGCGGCCTTTTATTCTGTGTTACTTTCTGAGAGGTTTATCCTTGTGGAGAGGAACAATCAGTGTACAAGGTCCCTTGTCAAACATCCCCACCCTCTCAGAGTTATTTTGAGTCTTGAGGATAAACCTGTACTCCCATGGCGCCACAGACTTGAAAAGGATACCTGCCTCTCATACAAATTAGTTACCCTACAGAATCTTCTATCTTCTGTGTCATTACAGAAATGCAAATGCAGCCTGACAAATCCAAATGAATTCTCCCTCTGTCACAGAAAGAAATGTTTATTCCCAAGAAGTGTTGACTACCCCATGGGTCACTCTTACTGTGGGCTTTGCCTGCGTAACATGCACTCACTATTGTACCTTTGTAATTAACTAGGAAATGGATGTCACACTAGACATGCTGCTGTCTTTGTTGTTTGTGTTGTCTTGTGTTCTTGTTCTTGCAAAGAATATGAATCAACAATGCAATTATATCACTCTGGGAATTTAGAGCTACCGTACTAATTTATGTGCTGTGCTGTATATGTTTATATTTTAACATTTTTCACCACATTATGAATAATTAGGATAATAATAGCCAGTGTACACACACTGCAGAAATACTGTAAGAGTGTCATTCAGAGATATTTGCAAGCCACACTGGTGATTTGTTGTAAAATGGCAAACTTGCATTATAAATAATAATGGGTAGTTTGGATGCTTTTTGTTCTGAGGAAGCGGAATATAAAGTATTCAGAAAGAGCACAAGAATTTGTTTTGATTTGGTATTTCAGGAAGGAAAACAACTCAAGTATTTTCCCTCCAATTTTGGAAATTATTGGCTTTCTTTTCCATCTGAGTCACAAAGGGCACTGCGTTGATGGCATAAACGAGAGGGGCTGATTTTAAAATGAGACCATATTACCGTCAGTGTTTGTTGTAGCATTTGATTTCAAATTACTTATTGGATGACATCCCATGGGAAGGTGGTGATAAGTTTGAAGGGTTTAGATGAAATTGTGCTGAAGCCCGGTGGCAGCGGTGTGTGCCTTTGACAAGTCTGTACATTCAGATGTTTGCGTTAAAGTTTTATGAAGGTTACCGTCTGATTATGCAGCACCTCAGGGATCTAGCAACTTTTTACGACTAATATGAAAAATGCTCTTGGCTCTGCTCGCATGGCCGACGGATCCATGCTGAACAGACATTTTATAGGCATCCAACCTTCTCTTGTGCTGCACTGTTTCTCCACTTGCTTCCTTCCTCTGTGAGCCTTCGATATCTGCTTGCCGACAAATAAATGTGAAAATTGGTTTTCATGCTCACCAGGACATCAAAGCTGATGTAGTTTTGCTGCTTCTCCACCCAGGTAGTGGAGTCCTGCTGAGGCCCGTGTTCACCAAACAACCCGGCAGTGTGGTGTTTCCCCTTCAACCTGGCGAAAATCGCAGAGAGGTGGTGTTCAGCTGTGAGGCCCAGGGACACCCACCGCCTTTCTACAGGTAACACCTCCAGGCATGGCTATATTCATAGTTTTTGTGACGCAGAACTTCCCCAGAGCTCTCAAGTGAAACGTTTGCCCTAATAACCAAGTAAGACTGGATTTATTGCCCTGGGAATACTTGGGATTTGTGGACCTTATGGCTCACTGCTGCTCACTGCCTACAGCTCTTGGTGTCACTGTCAGTCATGGTTAATTTGAGAATGATGAATTAATTGGCCTCAGTTGTTGGTTCATTCAGTTGTTGGACATTGATCTGCTGTAGAATTCACTTGGAGAGCTTCCTGTCATCAGTATCACTGACCATTGAAAAGATCAAGTGACCCAAGAGAATCATGCACCAAAACTCTGCTGCTCTCGAGACAAAGATCGAGTGGAGAAGAAAAAACACCAGCAGAGTGTATTTCATATACCAGAAATGATGTGGCAGAAGTTGTCTTTCCATATCCTAGCTTGCTACAGTAACATTTCATGTACAGCTTCACTGCTCAAGGCTGCACAGATATTGCCGTGGGGCATCTGATTCTGAGGTTATCGCTACATGATAAACATGATTCAAATCACTTGATGGACTGAGTTGCAGAAAAAACGCTGCTAGTCATTGTCCTTCCTCACCATGCGGGCCCTGTGAGGCTGAGCGGCAATTGTATTAGAAACAAACTGATGCCCAGTTACCCTGCCGCTGAAATGATAACAAATGAAAACAAATGACAAACAATGATTTGCTTTAAAGTGCATCAAGCACATAAGCTATTAATTCATAATCTATCAAATGGGGCCACATAGCTGTTGTACTCCTGTCAGTGTAATTAAATACAAATTGCAAAGCCAAGCATTTAATGTGTAATAGGTTGAAACGATCCCTCATAACATCAGCATATGCGGCCGTTAATGTAGCTTGAAGATCCTTGGTGTTATGCCTAATGGGCACAAATTGAAATGAATGTACAAGATCTTATCACTTGGATCGGCTGGAATACTTATTAAGCAATCAGTCGCTGTTTCCCTGTCTGGATAGTCCTACTTTTTTATAATGAAAACCAATTTATGAGTTCAAATCTGCAAATTTTTTTTTTTTTGGCCCCTCTGAGTTGAAGTTCTGAGAGCATGCCCGGCTCCATACCAAATCAAATTTGGCTTTAATGAGCTCTTTAATTACAGCAAGTGCCACCAACTGTGGCAGTTGATATACCACATTAAGAAGTGATCTTCAGATTGATCACAAGCTGTTATGATATCATACTTTTTCCGCTTTTAATGATGGGCCATATATACTCAGATGGACATATTGCTGTGTTGTTAGTTCAGTCAGCATACATCACAGTGCTGTCATTGCCTCGGCAATTTCCTTTTTTTATAAACCAAAGGTCACTTGTGGGAAGCTTTGGAAATGAGTTTTGGGTCTTTGTGAGATTCAGCAGCAGGACACCATATGCTGAGTGGCTCTTCACTGCTGCATATGAAGGCAGGTCTATTTCAGGGTCGCCGAGGACAAATTAATTTGTCTAAGACTACCCAATGACCGCCAGCACATAAAGCCCCCACTCTAAGTTGTCACCATGGCCCCTTGATTTGTCTCATCTGGAGCTGTTGGACCAGTTCCAGCTGCAACACCAAATCACTAAATCAATCTAATCAGCCAATCTGCCGTTGAGCACCGCTCTGCTGCATATGTCCCTCCATTCCCTCCCCTCTTCAACCCTGCCTCCCGCTGTCTTTGTCTTAATCCTTCCCACTGAAAAAGGGAGGAAGAAAGTCAGAAATAGAAACCTCAAGCTTCCTTTATGTCAGAGAGCTTTGAGAATCTAATCAAGACTGAGGAGCTAACATTCAACCTAATTGTCCCTCATTTCCTCGATGAAAAGCTATTTCTCCTTTTCTAAGTGTCACTTTTCTTGTTAGTCTTTGTTTACTCCCTTCTTTCGTCTCATTTTCTTTCCTTTTGACTGTGATTCGCTTTGAGACTAAAAAGCGCCATTTGCCCACTAACTTTGCCTGGGTATAATACAGACAATTGCAAGAACCTATTGAGTTGATGAAATGTATCTGCAGAAGTTTTCTGCAAAACAAGTTTAATCCCTTTCATGTGTTCTTGTAAAGTCTGTGCTGTTCGCAGTGAATTGAAACTCAACCTTGTAGTTGACGAAATCATTTCGGAGGTTATGGTCGCATGCTGCATTTGGTTGAACCTGCATCATCAACTCAGCAGGTTTTCTTAGACTATAAGCCTTAATTATGCAAAGTGAACAACATTAAGTCTCTTAAATCAAGCCACATAGGTGTCTTGTACAGTTAAAATTTGATTGCTGGCAGTTCCATCTTGATGGTGTCTCTCCCTCTTTCTCTCACACACTTACTTGCTGGACTCCCACATTATTCAAAAAACAAGAGGTTTAATCAAAAAGCACCATTATTCTGTGCTTTACATGTGGCCATTTTGTGCGAGCAGTCCTGTTGCTCGGTCTTCCCGTCTGATAATCACTATGATTGGGGGGAGGTTATTTGATTCATGGTGAAAAGGCCTCCCTCATGTGGTTGTCATTGATGGACAAACAGACTGAAAGGAAAACGGAAATGTCAGAGGAATGTAGAGCATTTGATTTGTGAGTATGAGATGTGTTTGAAGTGAGAAAAAGCCTGAATAGAAATGAACAGTCTTTTGAAATGACTGTTGCTGATTGCTTCTCCTTTCAGTTATACTCATTTTTTTGGTTTTGCTGCAACACACATCACACTGTATTATTTCTCTCTGCTTTATCCACAATTAGGGCCGTTTGGTCACAGTTTTTGGGTACTGGCTACTCTCTATTTTAAATTAATTGGACTTTTTGCATCAGTCTCAGTTGGTGTGAACAATGGAAAAATGCAGGAAATTGAAAGTTTCTCATGTTTCTGTTTTGTATCCTCTGCTTATGTTCGCAGGTGGAAGCTCAATGACTCTTTCATCCTGCCCAGACCAGGGTCACGTTATTCTCTAATGGGAGGAAACCTACACATCAGCCATCTGAACAAAGAGGAAGATGTTGGCATCTATCAGTGCCTGGCATCAAACTCGTTTGGTACCATCGTCAGCAGAGAGGCCAGTCTGCACATTGCATGTAAGTCCATATTATATTTAACTAAATAATGGGTCATTACAGAATGACTGGTAATAACCAGTAGCAGATTTGAGGAAGGATGTGAAGAGACATCATCCCCCTTGTTAGCAAAATGATCAAATTGCGCCCCGTCTTATGAACCTGCTATTCCTCTCCATCCTTGGGTCTGGGCCCAAACATTGTTCTGCCAGGACCCAGACATATAGGGGCCTTGATACACCAAGGTGATGGTCAATTGTTGGTCAGTGTTGAGCTGTCGGTGAGAATTTGTTGCCTTAGTTCTTTGCTGTGAGCCCCGCACCATTGGCACTAGTTGATCCTTGTTGGCCCCTGTTGGCTTTTTCTTTTTCGGTCGATTCGGTTAGTCTGTCAAAGAGAAAAACCTCTCTGATTGGCTGACTGCAACTCGGTGCAGGAAAAGAGAGACAGAAGTGAGGAAGTCAAACAAACTGCTAAAGTCAAGAGAGCATGAGATCAACACAAATTTGTTATGTTAGTTGTGATTATTTTTTTTAGTCATTTAGCTCTTTAGCAGAAACAGTTTGTGATGGTTTGTGTTATTGTGTGCTAGCACATGGTAAATATCCTTTGTTCTTTCAACATCTGGTTGTGTTGCTAATGTACTAACTGGCTAACTAGCATCTTGAATCCATCCTGTAAAGGCCCTGACACACCAAGCCGATGGTTGGCCATCGGTCAAAGTCGGGCCGTCAGTGAGCATCTGTCGCCCTAGTTTTTGTGGTGTGTCCCACACCGTCGGCACTTCGGCAGCGGCAGCTTTTCGGCCGATTGCGCATGTTGAATCGGCGGCGGAGCTTGTCGGTGAGAGGGATCACTCTGATTGGCTGTTCAGGTTTTATTTCCTCGCCCCTGTAGCGAGTGAATCTGCCTGTAGTGAAACCGGGGCTAACCAGTGCTTTCTCCTCAGGCTCCACTTCACTCAGCTGCCCACAGACCTGCTGCTTCTTCCCACTTTAACCTGAATAATAAACCGGGGCTAGCTGTGAAGCTAGCGGAGCGTTAGCCGCAGCATGACTGGAGTTAAGCACAGCCAGTTAGCCTCCGCTAGCTTCCCAGCTAGCCCTGGCTATCCGTTTAGATCCAACTGGGGCACCAAGCCCTGGTTTGTTATTCAGCTTAATGTGGGAAGAAGCAGCGGGTTTGTCCGCCAGCTGAGTTCAGTGGAGCCTGCGGAGGAAACACCGGGACCGTCTGGATGAAATAGTCCGTGGAGGTGCTGTGGTGCTCGGCTGCACAGATAGGAAACCCCTTGGCTGACAGGATGTACCACTCTCTCACTCCTCTCACGCAGGCGTAAGTGCAATGTAAGTGCTACTTGGCCATCGGATGTAGTCTTTGTAGTGCGTTCAAATGCAACTCACACAGGGCGACCTGAGGCGACATAGACGACGCAACAGCTGGCTTTCGTCGCCGCTTGTTCTTTGATGTCTGTTTGGTGTGTCAGCACCTTAAGTCGTCTAGTTTCCCTTTTTGAATGACAAATAGAGATTACTGCCACCTGCTGGAATGGGCAGTTATTCCTTCTCAACAAGCATATATGCCAGTTGGCAGTTGGCTGTGGTCTTTGCAGTGTGTTTACTGCAACTTCTTGGCTGAGACACAGGCAACACGAGGCAATGAAACAGTTAGCCTTCATCACCACTAGTTCTTTGATGTCGGTCTGGTGTGTCTGGACTTCAACCGCTGAATTATCGAGAACTATTAAATTTTTCTGTTTTAACTGATGCAGCATTTGTAGCATTGGTTTTGTGACCATGAAACTTACAGACCACACACACACACACACACACACACACACACACTGGAGAGACTAGATGAAAGACAGCAGTCGGAGAAATATCACAGTCAGAGAAAATCATTTGACATGGCGTGTTGTGAAGACAGAAAAATAGACGGCGAAAAACAGAGCTTTTAATGAAGAATGGACATGTTCATTCTTCCCAGGGGCAGTTGAAAACCAGTGCGTCTCATCATATGTTCTGAGACCATGGCAATTATTAAAACCGGAAGTGAGAAGCACCACTGTTGCATAAAGCAGAGTGCATCCTTTGAGCAAACATATCCACTCAAATCCGAACTGGGGGCACAGAAAATAAAAGTAGTCAATCAATGTATTTGTCATATGAAATCATGCAAGGTACACCTCCTGTGAAATTGAAGTCTTTATGCAAGTTAGACGTTGGGGGTGGTGGTGGGTCCATTCTACCTCTTAAATATTTACCAAATTGCTGGTAATAACCCTTCACTTATGAAAGCAAAGCTACAAGAATATAATAGTTTTGTTTAATTGTCTCGAGCAATTTTTCTTTTACAGTTTTATCACTTTACTTCACTTGAGTTTATTTCACCTCAGTTCAACTGTGCTTCTTTTAAGTTCAGTTCAGTTTTCTTTTCGCCTTAGAAAGTAAAAGTTTCATTAAACATCAGATGTTCTGGTTCACTGAAACTATAATGACCCAGCAGGATTCTCTGGAAATGTTGTCAGACCTGATCTTCTCTAACAAAAAAAACCAACCAGCGACAGGAGACTCTTACAGTAGGCTGATACTGTTAAAGTTAATAATGCGAAAAGACAAATTAACCGGCCATGCTCCTGTCATGGTGTGCTTTTATCCTTTAACCCTGATTAAAGCTCCAGTGCTCTTGTTTACTCTGTTCAACTCCTCACTCCTCTGTGATGATTGTGGTGGGCCTTGACAGACCCCGTATAGCTGGTGCTTTACAGCCTTCATCCATCACTTTTTATAAGACCAGAGTCTAAGGCATCTCTGATGGCAAGGTGAACTTGAGGCCTCCACTCTTGATGGGCAGCCTATATCAAATGACAGCCCTGGTATCTGTGAACAGATGGTGCAGCTAGATTGAATTCTGATGTCTGTTTCTCTGCCATCGCTGACGCAGGGATGATCCTTGGCAGGGAGAGCACCAGAGGTATCCATCTAGCCGCGATTTGGTGCTTCTTTGTCACAGAGCGGCATTAAATCTTCAGCATATAGTGTAAATCGGCGCCATGAGTTGCCAGCGGGCTGTTGATCATATTCACATTTCCTATCAATTTTCGAGACCTGACCTGAACTGTATGTCATTGTGATTGGTCTCATCCATTGCCTGGGCCTGACCTGGGACCCGCTGCTTTTGTCAACAGATGAGGACAAGCATCAGTGCTGATGTGTCATACATCTTATTTATTGCTCTCGGTTTAACTTAATTAAGTGTGCTCTATGATTGAGCGGGTCCCAGGTCAAGGGAATAATTCATGGAGGAGCAGCCTGTTATGAGAGTCAGTATCATGTCATTTGTAACAGACTCTGACTCAGAGTAGCTCAATATGCTCTCTCAAACACCAAGGGGCTTGCATCTCTCCATCTCGTAATAACTCTGAGAAACAAAGACCAGGTAAAGGCTGCTAATAACGAAAATGCAAGGATCTACAATAATGTGTAGCAGGTAATCCTATTAAATATAGTCGCCTAAAACCAATGCTTTTGGGCACTTCGCTGAAAACAAATGTAGAACAGTGATTACAGCGTGTTCATTATCAAAAACACTACCTTCTTTAACAATGTAGCCTATGTTTGGGATTTATTCATGGAAGCCCCCGCTGATGTGGTGAACAAGATTAATGTCTAAGATTTGCACCGACTAATGACGTCCCATAACATTAAAATTTTGTACTGCACGAATGTGTTGCGCATACATAGGAGTTCAGATAGCCTACATTTTAATCCTCTGGAGGATGGATGATATAACAGTGCTGCTACCATCTGGTAGGGGTTTAAACCTCTAAAAGTATAAACGTTCCTGATCCTGTTGACAATACAGACTTAAATGTTTAAAAGGTTCTGCTCGCCTGCTGGGAGTGCTGGAAGGAATAATCTAGTTGGTTATCGAGCCAGATTGAGTTTCCTAATCTCCAAGGGATATTTTCGGTTTAAGTGTAAGGATTTTCCCTGATGCAAGATGCAACATTATACAACAGATTTTAAAGGCCTGCAATACAGGCAGAGCGTATAGGATGCCTGATGTGAGGAAGGAACATGCTACTGCCTAAATGCTGCTTATAGAGCCACAAGGGTAACACAGTGTTTAATGAAGGGTGAAATAGCTGTATTTATGAAAGCAATGCAGGATGCGACTCCCTTGTATCTTGGTTCTCATGATTTCGTCGATCAAATTCTGTCCTGTAATTGCACATAATTTGCATTTTTTCCCCTTACTGGCTGTAGTCTAACCTAACTGCCTTATCTGTGTAATTACTTTGCAGATTTCTATCTTTTTTTTTTTTTTTTGCTTTGCTTCTCTCATTTCCATCAGCTCTGTACTCCTTATTCATTGCTTCTGCCTCAGGTGAAAATTAAGTCTGTTTTGAGCTGGAGAGCATCTGAGGAAGGGACAATAACATTTATTGTCAGCACTGTGATGCTAAGTGCTCAATCTGGGTTTCGAATCCTCTTTTAGGGAGGAAGGTGGTGGGCATTTTCTGAACGTAGCACTTCACAACAGTGTCGTAATTGTCAGGAGACACCAGCAGTAGCGCTCTGTAAGAATTAGGCCTCTTTGATGTTTATCACTCCTCAAATGTCATGTGTCACTCACAGTTAGGGGTTCACTGCATGATGCCGCGCTGAGAACAGAGGGGAGTGGAGGGAAGACAACAAGCAGACTTAGATGAGAGGAGATGATGGTTTTTCACCATCCACCAGTGCTATTCATTAGAGCTGTACCGATAGTTCGAAGCTTCATTCATAACGTTGACATTAAACAACCTTTGAGTGCTGCACAGATTTTTATTTTTTATTTTTTGCTGCATGTCTATTCACTCGGTTTTAACCTGATATCTCTGCAGAGTTGCAGATAAAAATTAGGCTACACTGATATAATTAGTTGGCGGCATGGTGGTGCTTTCTTAGCACTGTGGCTTCACAGCAAGGGGGTGCTGGGTTTGACACCACCAGTTGGTCGGGATGACTCGGGGGCAG